TTGAAGGAAAGATAGAGGGGCAGATAGAAGTGACCAGAAGACGAGGAAGAAGACGTAAGAAGATGCTGGATGACCTTGGGGACAGAAGAGGATATTCTCATTTGAAGGAGAAAGCTCTAGATCGCATTAAGTGGAGGAACTGTTTTGGGAGAGACTGTGGACCTGTCGTCTTGACAGATTACTGATGAATGAATGAATTTATTAAGTTATTGAATCTTCATTTACCAGTCTTGCTGTGATTCCCTGCAATTTTTTCTTCACCGGGTTATTGATATTTCTTAGTACAAGACACTGAGCATCGTGATCCGACAGTCCATTACTAATAGAGATTACTTCATATGAATGCATCCTTGCATTATCAATAAAAATATGATCAACTGCAGAGCTTTTGGTCTCAGTTATTCTAGTTGGGAACTGTACTGTATGAAATACATATTATATGATTTCAACAGCACTAGTAGCTGTGTTTATGTGTTGTCTCTTCTAAAAAATTTATGTTAAAATCACTACATATCATAAATTCAATTTTTGGTTTGAGTAATTTGAGTACTTTATCCAACTTGTTTTCAAAGTACTCAAAATTACCACAAGGTGACCTATATATACACAGTACTAATAAGTTAGTTTTAGCTATTAAAATTTTAAGTGAACAAACTTACATGTTCCTTTCATCATATAACTGTGCTAGATTAATAGCAGTAAATTTTATATCTGATCTTATATCTATATACAAACACCTCCTCCTTGATGAATCATGTGGGAATACTTTGTTCCTAGGGCGTAATTCTGGAAATTGTTGTATGATAATTTCTGGTCTGCCATGTGATGCTCAGATAAGCATATTAAGTGTGGATTTATATTATTGCTTACTATTGAACACTTTAATTCATCAATTTTTCCCCCAGGACCTCTGCTATTTTGATGTATAAGAAAGAAAGAGTCTTTAGTATAATTAAACTTGTTGAAAAGTGACTTATTTGATTTTGATTTTGTGCTTCCCCTTTGGATTGACCCTCTATAAATCCTACACATCGAATGAAATGTAGGACTTTATTTATGGGGCCGTCATAAAAGTCACTTGGTTCCATGAAAAACTGAACCAGGTGACAAAATCTTAAATAAGCTATGGCCTCGCAGTCGCATAGGATATGTGTGGCTGATTAATCTTCTTGTAGGCACCTTCACTGTAGAATAGTATGTCATGTACGTGACGTGAAGTTAATTGTAGCGCGTTATATAACCAACACGTGACAATATTGCTTATGATTGTAACAAATGTTGGTAGTATGCTTGTAACTTTGTAGATTTATTTTGTTAACCTGTATTACCGAATGACGTGTCCAAGTGTTACTATGTAGCAAAACGGATGAAATAAAATACAATACAATGTAGGAATAATAGAGTACCTGTGCCTTCCACATTTACGCCTTGCATTTCCTTCATGCAAAACTTTCTCACAGCTTTCCTTCAAAGCATTCTTTCTCCCCTCTTCTCACCTCAAATATTTTAGCCCAAAATTTTTGAGGTACATTCTCGCATCGATTTACCTGCGGTTCCATCTTCTTTCTTCCTTTCCCTGTATTTGTAGCCATATTTACTCTTTTACTTTGAAGATGGAGGCATCAGATTCCTCTGAAAAATCAGTAACTTTCTACCAGACTACATGGCATCACATCTTAAAAGATGATGACATTTATATTATTTCTGCTTGCTGAGAATAATATTTAAATTTGAGCTTTTAAATGTTTTCTATGAAGCATTATATGAGATTATTGACATGTGGACTCAACTGAGTAGCCAGTAGATTTACATTTATCTCTGGAGCCTTGAACATGCGTTGGGGTGAAAATTAAGGATCATAAATTTACAGAATAGACACCAGTCATTTCTCATTTTACATTTATACCCACCATAATATTAATATCTATGCACCCACAGTTCCATTTCCTTCAGGAGACACATTTTGGAAACTGAATGATTCATGTTAAAGGGCTGAAGACATAAGTACTCTGTTCTCCAGAGAATGAAAATTCATGACAAAGAATTTATGACTATATTTTACACTGAAATGAAGCAAGCATTATTGTAAACAGTTATGTGTCATTTTCAGACTCATTCTAGATTTCCATTTTAAAAGAAATGAAAAGTCTTGATGGATTTTCCCAATTTTCTAAACCGTTATTTAGGCCATACTACAACTCAGGTGGTTGGGTCCTGGTTTCTCAGTGTGGAGGCTCAGATTCAGTTCCAGGTGACTTTATATGCAATTCATGGTGGATAAATAGGCACTCAAGTAAATTTTTCTTAGAATCCCCCCCTCCCAGTTTTCCCCTATTAATTATCACTGTTCCATACTCATCTATTACCACCTCCTGAGGTGTGGAATAGCACTGACCAGGCAGTACATTATTACAACCTCAGTCTTTAAGTGTGAGGTTCACCTCTGACCTAGCACTTTGCTGGATATGAATTCAGGGAGTTAAGTGAAGTTTAACATAGGATTTATGTTAACTTGGTAACAAATTCTCTGAATTTATTAAACATACTGTCTGATAAAATTTTATGTGGGGTATCTGTCCCTGTTAGCATATACCTGTACATATTAAGCATGATCATTGAAGTTGTATGGGCATGAAACATAAGTAAAGAAATGAACTTTGAGAATCATGGCTCCAAAGCGACGATAGGGATCTGCTCACACACGTGTCAGACATGAGTATCCTTCTGAATGTGCAGTGTTTCCATCTGCCGAAGAATAAAAGCCACTGTCTGTTGACGTACTTCTCCCACGTGGTCTCTCAATGAGTTGAGTTGTCTGTAAGCATCCTCCAACTGCTGTAACAGGAACTGGTTTTCCTTTGTGAGACGCTGCTTTGCCTGTGGTCAGAAAGTTCACATTTCAATTTAAACTATGTTCAAATGCAAGCAGAAACTATGAATTTCCTCCCTCACATTCCAAATGAGAATTCACTGAAAAAAGAAAAGAGAGAGAAGAAAATGGAAAAAGCAAAGACACATTTCTTGTTGTAGTCACACAAAAAGGTAAGAAAGAAGATAAAGCTGTCCCTATAACAGGTCGTGAAGGCCCATAGTGTTGTGAGTAGTCGAGGTTCCCACATTTCTTCTAGATAATTGACCCACAGAAGGTGGTAAGGCTGTCAGCCTTATAAGCCAGCCGCCCTTTACCCCCTGGAAGATTCCTGGTACTCATGTCTGTTAGAGGCTGAGTTGACCCCAGAGCCATAGCGCAGCTGAAGCATTAGGTAAATTGAAAAATAATCCACCTCATTGGGACTCGACCCCGCGACTTTCATACAAAATACATATTACGTAAGGAAAAAAGAGAGACAGAGATATGAAGTATTTAGATCTATGACATATTTCTTTCTTTCTCTTTTCTTACAATTAAAGAAACTTGTTGTTTCTTCGTTGATTCCACTATCTTGGCTTTCAGCCATCATGTCACAATATATTAAGTTTAGAACCGAAACAAAACATTAGATATTTTAAATATAATAAACATTATTATATTTTAAGCATACATTTTTTATTTAATTACATACAAAAAACATGTGAACGACCCAGTCTTATTAAATATGAATATTCTGTGTTTTTAACCAAAGGAAATAATGTAAAATATCTCACATCTGTATGTGTCAGCTTAATAACACAACTTTATCACAAAACTGTCATGCTTGTAATGCCTACATACCTGCACTTAAACATTCTTAAATAATCACGAAAATATGCAGCAAGAATCTCGGATTAAATTCAAGGCTAATGTACTTAAAACCCTTACAAGCTTAAAAAACATAAATAAGAGACAAACTGTGATGTGTAATTCTCAGAGCAAAAATCCTGTAAAGTACATGCAGTGACCAACAGAAGCATCATTGCAAGTCAAACACAATCCACTACATACAAAATAAGCAAAGGTAAACCTCATGCAAACGGAGTGCAGCATCTTGTTATCCATGAAATAATACTTATAATTTATATATGAACTTTGGCCATATATACTTATTAAAATTATTATGTATAATGGCAGTAGCCTTCATTTGTAATTATTTTTAGAACACAAACTTCAAGCTTTAAGGTTCTGATAAACTTGAAATGATTCTAACAAAAGCATTTATGATAAGTATTACTGGTTTTGGGGGGCACACAGTAGCGTAGTTGGTCGAGGCACTATGCTACAAGGAGGAAGGTCGCGGGTTCAAGTCCCAATGAGGTCACTGGATTTTTTTCAATTGACCTAATCCTTCCAGCTGCACTATGGCCCTGGGGCTGACTCAACCTCTAACAGAAGTGAGTACCAGGAATTAATTAAATAAATTTCCTGGGGAGTAAAGCGCGGCCAGCACGTAAGGCTGACAACCTTACCGCCATCTTTGAGCCAACTGTCTAAATAATGTGGGACCCTCAACGTCTCACAACCCTATGGGCCTTCACAGCCTGTTACAGGGACAGCTTTACTTTTTTACTTTCATTATTGGTTTTCGAACATTTTCATATATTCTGAACAGAATACAGTGTTATAGAAAACGGGTCTGTTTCCATTCTTGGAAGAAGGAAAATGGTACTATATTTTTCTATTTTTTGTTTTATTTTTTAATTTTTATTTTTTACCTTCTGACTTCTCTGATTGATATTAGCTCTGTCTAATGAGCCTAACTGCTTAGGTCATTTCCTACCTTTTCCTTCAGGTTAGAAACAAATCCAGCTTCTGAAATATTGTGTTTTGTTTGCAATATGAAGATGGACAACACCCAGAAATTCATCAATGCTATGAAGAAATCTGTCTTCTGAAATGAGAGGCCATATAATCTAGTAGAATTTCACCAGTGTTTCACACAAATGTATTGCCTCCATCTCTGGGGTCAAAGAGTTAGCCAAGCAAGTAACTAGCAAGAGGCAGACAACCTCAAACAGAACCAGTAGTGCTAAATAAAAACTCTGTTTCACACATTGTATGATGTGGAATAATACACAAAGACACTCACACCTGAAATCTCCTTTCTTACTTCATTCTTATTCAAACAAGAACGTCTCTTTGTTTTGCGTACTGGATCTTCTAACTGAAGTTCATCTCACGGGAATGGGTCTACTAACAAAAAAAGAATCTTCCATTTTGGTACTTATATTCCTATACAGTTTAGCTTAAATTGTGTACCAACTAAATATATGCACCAAAATGGAAAGGATCTGGATATATGACAATTTATTAGGTTAAGGTGGAAAAAATAAGAATTTGTTAAAGTCTGAATGAGTAGTTTTGGATACAGTATAGAGCTGCATTAGTATTTGGCACTGTGTATTCATATGCATAAATATACAAGTTTTTTCTATACTCAGTGAGTCACAGCCAAGGAAATGTGTCAAAATTATTTTATGCATATTGATTTTGCTGCCAAAGCCATACGAATATAGCCAGCATTAAAAGCACTTAATGTTGCTGGTATCTGATAGCAGCTGTTACTGATATTACTGGTCAGACATTGACCATCATGCTTCAAAATTCCAGCAACAAACCACAAATACAGGCTGCAAAGCTTTCATGGAGACTGGATGGAATGTTCTCAGGTGACCAGTTGCAAGAAATGGAGTTGGTACCTCACAATTTGATGGCTATCTCTGCCTCCACCATCACAGGTTGACAGGTGGCTGATCAGTTACATCATTTTTCATATTAACCTCTAATGATGGAGGCAGAGACAATCTTCAAAATGTGAGATACGAACTCCATTCCTCGTGGCTGATCACCTGAGAAGATTTCACTGCAGACCACTTTAAGTTACATCATTGCAATCATGAGGAACAGGACACACAACCACTCTCCATGGGGTTGAGATCTGAATTCTGTGATATTTGTTAATCTAAAACACGTGTCATTCCAACAGTATTTTGAAATAATCAGGACTTTTTAATTATTTAAAAGATGGAAATGTATTAATGAGGACTGTTAAATTGAGACTATAGTATTTCTGAATGTTGTGAAATAAGTTCAATATCTTAATTACAACCTGTGTGTTACCTCTGTTAAGTAGGTTAAAAACAAAGGATATAATGAAAGTTGGATTCTAACTGGTGATTATAATTTTTATTAACTTAATCTTTAGTAATGCAATCATGTGCTTCTGTATTATAGTAAAACAGACTGAATTAATGGAAACCAACTGAGAAATGTGCATTGCTATCTTAGCAACTTATATAAATAAAGTGATAACAACTGATATATAGAAATATTTATAGAATATGATGACTACATGTCCAAAAGATTTGATGGAAATCCTTCTGGATGCTGTCACAGCGTCCTTTGAAGTACTTGTTACATTGAACAAGCTGCAACTGAGCTACTGTTATTGTACCATTAGAGCAATATATACAGGTATCTGAATTAATATGATTTTTGAAGCCGGATTTTATGCACATTTGTGCATGTTAGTTACAACAAACACTACATTTAGTGCATGCTTATTACCTCCTCTGCTGCTGCAAGTTTTTGGTTCAGCAGTTCCAACTCCTCACTGTGGCAGTGACAGTTCATGTGGTTTGCTGATGATGGTGCTGTGACTGAACTTGGAGCAACCACAACCGATGACTGGTGGGCTAGCGGTGGATAGTACACAGTGGAGGAATGTAACAGTGGAGGATGTGTATGTGTCTGTCCTTCCTGCACTTTGCAGTTATGAGAACATGTACTTTCTGGGCAACTGTGCTGCGCCCTGAGTCGAGATGTTGGTCGGCTACGTGAAGGTACCAAAAGAGAGTCACTTATCTTCCTTCTAGGCCCAGCCCACATTAATGTAGGTTTTGGACTTGGTGGTAAAGAGCCCCCCCCACTATCAGAACACTCAGTTCCTGATGCTGTCTGCTGATAAACTTCTGGATCACCAATTGTTGAACATGAAGCAGTGGAGTATTTTGGACTTGGAGGAGAAGATTCAGATTCAGAAGCACTTGACTTCTTCTTGCGACGGAACTTCCGTCTTGAAGTCGATGCATGACTGCTTGGTTCTCCTGTAGGACACGAAAATTTTCATATTATATATGTAAGTTCTCTCTTTGGTCAAGAACATTGATAGTCAGACTGCTCCATGAAGTAAGTGCCTGTCCCACTCACAGCTGAAGTACCAGGGAATATTTATTACAAATGAACACCTGAAATAAAATCCAGAGTTCGCAGTTTTAAACACAGTGTTGCATGTTTGCAGTCCTTTATAGAGGACATCCACTCAAACACACAAGATACGTCAGTCCTCAAAATATCGAAACTGGAGTGTTTGAAGTGCCAATATTATTACAGGAAATTACTAAATATCTAGTCAATGACAAAGCATCATAAGACTTATTCTTCTGTTTATACAAAAATAGTAACTATTCTAAAATTGGCATTAAACATTTCATGTTAACTCTGTGTCACTGCAAGTTTGATACTTTCTCTGTACAGCAGTCTGCACTGTTTCTGTCTTATGTCACATACATGAAGGTATTATTCATCTGAATCTGGGAAACAGAAGCAACCAATATTGATGTTGCTCAATAACGGAGTGACAATGCTCCTTGAAATTCTTCTCAATTTCTCCCTCTTACACCTCAAATTTTGAAATATAAACTTCAATTTATTCAGGCTATACACATCCAAGACAAAAATAGAAAGCTCCCTTTAAAAATAAATGTTAATATTCAATAACTGATGCAAATACACAACACTTTTATAGCCAAATGGAGAACAGGAATGAAAATTGGCATATAGAAAACCCTTATTCAGCAGCTACATTATATGTTAGTAGAATTAAATTGTTTCACATATTATAAGATGTTATTACAAGCGACATTTCATACTGATATGTGCCAATAGTGCAAGCACCTGAAGATGGCAGAATACTGGCCAAAGTGTGCTGTACTCACCACACACTATTAAGAGGTGTCGATAATTTAAGCAATAAAATTTGAACTGGGAATTGTGCTAGAAAAAAAGTTCATTTGGTGGAATCGGCCAACTGTGTGGAACAAACAAAACAGATTGCAGTCTTCTAGAATGTGACACCTTGAGTCTAGTAGCTCTAGCAACACAAGCCTTCTGACATATTATATCTTCCAGTTTGGTAGATAGGTACCAACCTTTCAGAGAACTCATCTGCCAAACTGCACGATGTCTCATCTAAGAAGATCACAACCTTCATACTCACAGCCATGAATATGTTAAATCTCGCTTGATAGCAACAGATATATTTCTGCCTACCTGAAGTAGGATTGCTCTTGATTCGACACTCCATCACCACCAAATCCTTGCAATGTTTGTGAGCACTGATACCACAGTCACGACATTTATACCCTTGTCTGATAAGTCCCCATAACTACATAAAAAAGAAAGCAAACTGTTGTAGTATATTGGCCAGTGATGTTCATGAGTTAGAAGCAATTATCCATCAAAGCTTTGGTACTCACAAGACCAGCACAATGTGCGCAGAAAGTAGGCTTAAAGTATGTAGTTTCATGAAATTCGTGTTTGAAACCACTTTTTAATGCATGGCAATTGGCATGAATGAAGTATTTTTTCATTTCTTCTTGACTTATCATGCCATCACTGAAAATGAGAAAATGTAACTATGGAGTTAATCCTGATACCCGATAATCTGTGCTGAGGACTGACATATGATCCAATGCAGTGGTTCCCAAACTTTTTCAAGCCACTGCCCCCATGGTTCCATAAACTCATGCGCAGTGTTCCTTGCCCTACCCTGTAAAAAGCATTCTTAAGTATAGCAGTATACACAACACACTAAGGAAGATAATAAAAAAGAGAGAGAGAGATCATATTTAGGGTTCCACCTCCAGCAACTCCTTGCTCTTAACAGTCCCCTAGGTAAACCCTCTACCACTTGGGGGGGGATACAGTCCACTTTGAGAACCACTGATCTAGTGCTACATATGTCTGATGTTTATTAAATGTAATATATAGTATATTTATATTCAACACAGACTCAAAATAAATTCATTGTTTAGAGAAATTATGTAGGAGACTATTTGGTCTGCAATTTTCAGTCCAATTCTACGTGCAGGCTACCTCTTCTGACTTTCATATAAACACACACCTGATCACAGAACACACAGACGGTCATGATTTCTTCTTGTACTCCATAAGAGTTCAAGTGTATGACTTGACATAATTCCTTAAACCAAGTATGTACAGACACAGACTTCTTCCAATGACTAATTGGAACATTTGTTCTGATATGTGACTCATTCTATATCCAGTGGCTTGTGAATATACTTCTCAACCTGTTTCTGGATCTGCTTGAATTTGAAATAAATGAACATGAACGAAGACTGACAAAAAAATACAAGCAATGGATATGAAATATCTAAGTGAGGGCAAAACAAGAAAGAATAGAACTGGAGAAGTTGGGATGCAAAATTTGTTAACTGAGTTGGAAAATAAATTATTACAATAATCTAACCATGTAAAAGAAATGGGTAGAACAAGAATCCTGAGAAGAGCATTACAATTAAAATTTAAGGGAGACAGATCTCTGAGATGAACCAGAACAGGTGCCAGAAGTAATCCTGAAGGGAGGAAAGAACTGGAAGGAAAGACTAGATTGGAGACTTCCCAGTCATTGACCCACGTAAAATGGAAACAATATTAGAGGAAGAAGGAAATTAAAAGGAAACAGCAGGAGAGATGGAGAATGAAAAAGAGATGCATATTTATTCTGTCAGACATTATTCTCCGATAATTCCTGTGTACTACACATGATGTGGTAACCCAACTCCTGTTTTAACAGATAGATTAACAGAGATGTATTTGAAAGCTCACAGATCTTTGCCCAAAAAAATTAAAATACTTTAACTGGCAGGGTGCAAAAATATGAAGGAACAGCAATTTAATTACTCACTGATCTGCATCCAAGACACAGAATGATGCTATGAAGGGAAAATTCCCTGCAACAGCTTCAAATTCTTCATGAGATATGTAACCATCCCGATCATTGTCATAATTTTTGAAAACGGCCTCAACCATTGCGTTCACATGCTTTTCTATTGTCTGTGGGTCAGGTGGTGGACAGGGACTGGATGCCCATTCCGCAAATAGTACAGACTGTGTTGGAGAACTCTGGGGCTGGAACAAATGCAATCACATTTAAAGAGATCAGTGCAGTAATTGACCTCATCTGTTTCATCCTTCATTTAATCATTACAAAAATATTTGGCAAGGAAAAAATTGTAAAGATCTTCAATAAATCTGACATAGTTCAAAATATTCTCATTGTACTAGGATACCTTCAGTCTAAGTTTGGTTTTAGATCAATTCTGAATTGTTGCCTTTTAAAGATTATCATGGGTTTCAATATTATTTAATATTTCTAGTTTCTTTTATGAACATAATATATATTTGTTTTCTTGATCACTTGAAAAGTTATTAAGTATTAATGATGAAATTTAAGATGTTCTAACCACAAAATCTGTAAACTGAGTTTGATCATTCAGTTCTATTTCTTTTATTTTATGTTATATTAACATGAAGGTACACTTTGGAGTAGAAGTAGATTATGTCTTCAGTCACTGTGAATTAGAAATGTACTAGATGAATATTTATGTAAGCAAATTTTATTAGACTCTTGCACGAATATATTTTAATTAACCTAAAGTACCGTATTTACGCATGTATAGGCCGCGTGCATGTATAGGCCGCAGCACAATTTTCAGACAGAAATTATAGAAAAAATAATTTTCTTGGAATATTATTTCAGGAGTAGAAATTATTCCGAAATTTGGCAACATTTAACATTCCTCAGTTCGCAACTAGCGAAAATAACGGTACCGCTCGGAACAAAGGCATTGCGGGGGAGAGTTATAACCTTCTCGCCTTTACTTGACTTGCCTGGTTAGTTCTGAGTGAAACATGGATCGAGTAAGAGCAGGTTATATGTCTAAATTTAAACTTCAAGTGGTGCGTTATGCACAAGAACACGGAAATCGAGCAGCAGGGAGAAAATTCGACGTTGACGAAAAAAATGTGTGTGATTTCGAATATTTCGAATATAAGCCGCACCCCAGTTTTCCTCTTGAATTTTTGGCAAAAAATGTGCGGCCTATACATGCGTAAATATGGTATTCTAGGTATTCCAACCTGTAAACAAAATACTATATAGTACACTTTTATACTGTAATATTATAACATCTATAAGATTAACTTGTCACTATATATAAACTGGCCACAATATTGGTTAAACACATATTACACATTCAGAAACTGACTTATTCAATATAGCACTTCATAGCTTTTTGCTACTTACAGAGGAAGAATTTCTTGGTTCTCGAGCCAATGACAATTCATAGATTTCATCATCAGTGTATGAGAGATCAAGTGATAACTGAAAAAAATATGTATGTAACCTTATCATTCCAGCATTTTCTATATGGTATTAAAAGAAAATTGTACATAAATATTTTCAGTACTATAATGCTTATTAATAGTAAATTCAGTCACAAATCTTGGAAGATTAAGGCCTCTACCTAAACACAGGACAACACAAAACAGTCTAAACACTTACATACACCAAACATCCATGCCTTAAGTGGGATTCGAACCCATGATCCCAGCATCCAAGCGAGCGAAGACAGTTCATGCCTTACACCGCACGGCTACTGTGACCAGCTAGGAGGTTTGTCTGGTATCCACCTGCCAGGCTACATGGTGTCTTCTTGGCAGAGGGGTAAAATACACTGCTAGCAGTAGGTAGACTATATAGAATTGAACGGTAACGAATGATGAACTGGAATGGGTTTTGAAGAAAGCAGTCATGTCTTAATCAAGATATTGTCCTGCTATTTACTGGAGGGATGGAGAACACCACAGAAACGTCAGACAGGATAGGCATGTCCCTGCAAAGTTTCATAATGAGCAACTTCCAAATATGAGAAGGCTAGATCATTACCACTATGCCATTCTGCTCAGTTTATACGTTGTCATAACCTGTAAAATGAAAACTATACTTTCACTGTGCCTTGGATCCCTCAGGTCCCATATATATGAAATAAAATTTGATTAATATAAAGTTCTCCAGTACTGGAAAAATACAAAATACAACTTTGAAGTATCTCTTCTAAATAATAATTTTTCATGAAAATGACAATAGCTGAGAACACAAGAGACTACTGCTGCCAGGTATACCTACATGCAAAATTAGTATTACTCGCAACAAGCATGTGCAGCACTCTTATCGGCACACTGTGTTATCATATTCTCATGCAGTATAATTATGACTTTATTGCATAGAGTAGTGTTTCTCAACCACTGGGCCATGGCCCAGTACAGGCCCTGGCATCAATTATACAGGGCTCTCGTTTTATAGAAAAAAATAATTTACTGGGCCACGGTCTGACAAAAGTTGAGAACCACTGCTATTGAGAAATATACCCTGAGAGTGTTGACAAGATCCATGTTGGCATCTATAGTTGTTGCAGAGTTCTGTAATTCTTCCAGCTCTTGGAAGATTAAAGACAGTTGTGCCATTTTGCGGATATTGATCATTTCACCTTCTACAGTATCAGGCAAGGCCACATGTAAGGAGATCAAGTCCTTCAAATGAATACCACTAAAACATGCAAAAAAGTATAAAGTTACTTATAAGAACGTTCTATGGTTTTGTTATACAGAAAGATGTTAATTGCAAATCTAAGACAAAGTGAGTAGAATATTGAAGTACATGAAGTAGTTACATCTCAGTTATATTCAAATTAAGAGTTTTTAAAACTTTTAATGTTATGCATGATTAGATATGCTGACAAGCTGCTCTTTAATAATACTGTTATTCTATATATCTACATCAGCAAGATGAATTACAATAGAGCCAATATAGAAATGAATATAAAACACCTTTGTCTAAATTCTGACCTTTCTATTTCAAGTTTCTAAATGCATTATGTGGAAACCAGAAAGAACTGAAAGAAAAATATCCATTCCAGAACTTATCATTGCATCAAGCAGAATTTTACCAAAGCTATAAATTATGCTGAGTAATATGGAGATAGTACTGACATTATTTATTACTATTAACAGACTCTACCCTTCTTTAATGTAAGTACAAGAGTTCAGATTTTGTCAGAGGCAAGAGAATTTTCTCTTCTCCATTGTTCTGGCCAGCCCTGTGGCCCCACCAGTTTCCACCAGTATCAGGACATCTTTCCCAAGAGGTAAAGCAGCCAGAACCTACAGATTCTTGAGAATCTAGTAATGTAAAAATGTTCAAGTTGGTAATAGTGATCTATATTCATTTGTTTTTGTTTTGTATTATAATAAAAAGTTTCTTCTCATCCAATATGGCTGTTAAGTGATATGTAAGCACGACACAAAGAAAATCAACAAAGATAATCATGTACATATACTCTACCTAGAACTTAAGAATGCATGGAGGTATACCTATATTCCCTTATATCTCTTTATGGTGTTGTGCTTCATTAAGCACAGACAATATAATATCAGTTGAACTATTAAGTGCTATTAAGTTACGTCTAGCGTCGGTTACATACTGTATAATATCAATATATAGATCCCCAGTTGGCAAACTTCCTTATTTCATAAGTACTTTAGACCTTGTACTAAATAAGCTTTACTCCATTTCTACTAATATAATCCTTTGTGGCGATGTTAACATAAATTACCTTTGTGAGAGTAATAATAGAACTCAGCTTGACTCTCTTTTGGCTTCATACAATCTGTTTAATATAGTTAATTTCCCCACAAGGATTGATAATAAGTCTTCTACTGCTATTGATGGTATATTCATTGATAAATATAAATTTTTTAACTATGTTATCATGCCAGGAGTAAATGGCCTATCTGACCACGATGCACAAGTACTGGTATTAAATAACTCAAAAGTCCACAATTCTAAATTTTGTAGGTATAATAAGCGACAGATAAATAAAACTAGTATTGAGAATTTTAAACTTAATTTAAGTTTTGAAACCTGGGAAGAAATTTTTTCAAATGAAGATGTAGATAAAATATTTAATGCTTTTCTTAACATTTATTTGAGAAATTTTAATAATTGTTTTCCTATCAAAAAATTATTTAGTAAATACAATAATAAGGCATGGTTAACAGCTGGTATTAGAATTTCATGCCAACATAAAAGAAATCTTTATATCTTAAGCAGGAACTCAAATAATCCTATACTTTATGCCTACTATAAAAAATATTGTGGAATACTGAGGGAAGTTATAAAAACTGCAAAAAAAATGCATTATAATAGACTGATTGCCAAATCTAATAATAAAACTAAGACTATGTGGAGTATGGTAAATAATGTAACTGGCAAATGTAAAAATATTCGTGATCCCCCACCACTAATTGTAGAGGGAATGGAATGTAAAGATAGTCAAAGTATAGCAACAGCTTTCAATTTATACTTTGATGCTACAACAATTAAGAAGCTAAATAATGTTAGTATTAACTTGGATCCAATATCAAGCAATGATAATTTTCGTCATTATTTATCCTCATTGCCTTTAGGACCCAGTAATAATATTTTATATGAACCTGTAACTTACAAAGAATTAAGTGATATTATTAAATCCCTTAAAAATAAAAGTTCCTATGGCTATGATGAAATATCGACGAAGATAATAAAATTAAGTATGTTATATATTATGTCCCCTCTTATTTACATATGTAATAGGTCCTTGGCCACAGGTACATTTCCCTCAAGGTTAAAATACTCACAAATACATCCGGTACACAAGAAAGGTGATGCGTCTGAAGTATCTAATTATAGACCAATTTCTGTGCTTACATCCTTTTCTAAAATATTTGAAAAGGTTATATATAATAGAGTGTATGCTCATGTAGTACTTAATAATATATTGCCTGCTGAGCAACATGGATTTAGGAAACATCTATCTACAGATACTGCTATTCTTAGTTTACTTAATAATATTATGCAGGCACTTAATGACAGAAAACTGGTCGGTGGTATTTTCTGTGACTTAACAAAGGCCTTTGATAGTGTGAACCATGATATTTTACTTGAGAAAATGGATTTCTATGGTATAAGAGGTATATTTCATAAATTGCTTACCTCATATTTAAGTGATAGATACCAACGAGTAGTAATTAAGGATAAACAAGCTATACAATATTTTTCTGAGTGGAAACAGATCAGATTGGGAGTACCACAGGGATCAATTCTTGGGCCATTATTTTTTTTATTATATATAAATGATTTGCCAGCAGCAGTAAATAATATGTCAAAACCCATCCTATTTGCAGATGACATTAGTCTAATAGTATCTACTTCAGATCCTAATCAGCTTAAAGAATGTTTTAATTTAGTTGTTGAGAAATTGATGAGATGGTTTCAGGCAAATTCCTTGACATTAAATTTTAATAAAACATATTGTATGTATTTTACAACGATAAGGAAACATATTGTAAACTCCCCTATAAAGTATTTACATTCTGACATTAATAGTACACAAGTTATGGACTTTCTGGGGGTGTCTTTGGATCCATCCTTATCTTGGCAAGGACATATATCTAAAACAATAAAGAAATTAAATTCTGCTTGCTTTGCCATTAGGTCTCTGAAATCGTTACTATCTATTAATGATCTAAAAATGATATATTTTGCCTATGCTCACTCTATAATTGTATATGGAATTGCCTTTTGGGGAAATGCCACTAATAGCAAGGATGTCTTCATAGTGCAAAAAAGAATTATAAGGAGTATTATGAATGTAAATTCTAGAGCCTCTTGCCGGGGATTTTTTAAATATTTAAACATATTGCCTTTTTATTCTCAATATATACTTTCGCTTTTGCTTCTGGTGGTGAAAAATATGCATTTGTTTGCACTAAATGCTGAAATACATGTCATAAATACACGACAAAGTACCAGCTTACACGTGCCATTGATAAATTTGGCCAAATATAAGAATAGTGTGTGTTGTATGGGTATTAAAATATTTAATAATCTGCCACATAATTTAAGAAAATTATCGAGTGATTATAAAAAATTTAAGTTAGCTATAAATAATTTTCTCTTAAATCAATCATTTTATTCGATAAATGAATACTTGGAGTGGTCAAAAGAAAGGAAATAGAATACAGGTGAATATTTGTTTTATTTAGATACACTTATGTGTAGTAGTTTTTGTAGACTCTGTATAAATGTATGTATACTTTTATTATTAATTGCTTATAATGTCCGTATTTTAGTTATTATTGATTTATTATACTAAGCATTGACTAAGTTGTATTATTGCAACTGTTTTATTATAGTATATTTTACTATTTGGGACTGCTTCTACAACTGTGGTGATTGTGTCGCCTGTATGTTTTTCTTGAAGCAATAAAGGTATTATTATTATTATTATTATTATTATTATTATTATTATAACTGTGAAGTACTTAAGAGTTACACTGCTGAAGAACCTATCAAGGTGTGCATGTGTATGCATGCGCAGACATGTGCACAGAGGGTTGTGTGTGCACACGCATGTGTGTGTGAGTGACAGAGAGAGGAAAAAGAGTGCAAATCATTATATATGTCAATTTCTCAGGACTGATCTCATTATGATAACTTTAAAGTAACTTAAGTACATTTTAAGAATATAATTAAGTGCACAGTATTATTTTTGCACTCTTAATCCTTTAAGGCATAGTGATTACTATATATACCACCAGATTTAACATTGAAAGGCTCTGAATTCTGCCTACAGAGTGTGTGTATAAAATTCATATGATTCTCATAAAAAACAAAAATTATATCCCTATCCAGCATTAACCAGATGGTCTTTTTAATGGATATGATGTAGGAACTGATCTGAATACAATATAGACGAATTTAAAGTTTCAAAGGATGAATACAAGTAAAGTTCATTTCAATTTAAACAACTGGATAAAATATCTTCAATTTTACATTTATATTAATCTATCTCTTAAAAAATATAAAATACAGATTGACGTATGAGAGTATGCAAGTTAGTGTGCTATGAATTAAGTATATAAGATTTTAAGTGATTTCAGTTTCTTGCTGTAGGGTTACACAAAACAAAATTCAGGAGTACAGCTTTCTGTACTCAGTGGAACAATTCCATCCATAACACACAGTATAGAGCAGAGCTGTTTATATTCATCAGTGACAGATTTATTTCTGTCCTGAGCTACAGCTTCTCCTAGGGGGCCATGCCATAGCTCAAGCGGTTAGTCGCTGGCTTCCCATTGTGGTGGCCCGGGTTCGATCCCGAGTCTGGTCAAGTGGGATTTGTGGTGGACAAAGTGGCGTTTGGGCAGGTTTTCTCCAAGTACTTCGGTTTCCCCTGCCAATTTTAATTCCACCAAATTCTCCATCATCATAGTCACCAGGGGCAGGCTACAATAGGCCAATGAATGTCCGCCATGCCAAGTGGACCCAGTTGGACTTCACCCCCCACTAAGCGAATTACAGCTTCTCCTTACTATCTTCAATCTGTGGGATTCTTTAAAACGATAAAAATACATTTTTTTTTATCTTGACTGAATGAAACGTTTACCATCTCAGCTAAATAAAAGATAACATAATGCTTATGAAGGCAAACTTCACTTACAGGATTGGGATTTTGAAGCCCTTGCACTCAGCAAGTTTGCGCCGATAGTTACTGAAGTTGTTTCCAGAGGACAATAGCTCTGTTAGGTCTGCCAGTGACTTTTTGCTTTCTGCTGATAGACAAGCCATAGTTCTGGAGAGTCGAGCCAGAACACTGTGACTTACACTTCCTACTACTGCCATCAGTGAGTTGAAGTTTTGAAGTTCTAGGAGTTTCTGTGAACAAATAAGTTACATAATACTGACTACATTGTGCTCCCATGTTATTCACATTTGGAATAAGGAATTTTTCCCTTACAGAAATTATAGAACAAAGCCATGAAAATAGCAGGCCATAAATTCAGTCCTAGAGAAATTTGGCTTAAGCACTGAAAGTGTCAATAATTTTAATAATACCTCAACTGAGCTTGGCCAAACTAATTACAAACAGTAATTAGTCAACAACAGACTCTGACAACAAATTATCTGCAATAGTGAAATTACTTTGAAATTACTTTTTTCATCTGCCATTATCTTAACCTGAATTCTTCAGTAATATACAAAATTCTGACTAAGAACTTGGCTAGACTCACAAATACAGGTCCTGTTTTATATACAGATATTTTGCAGAATGTGCTTAGAGTAATTTGCTGAACTCAATTTATTAAGTCTGTAAAAACCTCTCAGTTCTACAAGAAATTTAATGTCTGGGTTTATAAATTCTTAATAGCACTAAAAATTCCAGAAATATTGTTGGAGAGAAATAAGTACAACAATGTGGATCAAGATGGCAATAAAAGTATTGTCTCAACAAAACTTAATTCTTTAAATTCCTTGAAGGGCAGCTGTTGTGAAATTTAGATTTCTTCCTGACTGCCTTATTGAACTAAACTTAAATGGAATTCTTCTTTGTGCCATGGGTGCAGAAATGGCAGCAGATCACTTCCTGAAATGTGACGTTCTACTGTGAAGAAAGACCTGGTAAAGAAATACTGGGATCCTAGGCAGACAATGACTGAATAGTCAACACTGGAACATTACCCACCAACCATCAATTGCATCAACATTATATCTAGTAAATCTGATCCCTCTTCATAGATGGATGTTTAAGTCAAACCCTTATTAAGCAGGCCATTTAAAAAGAAAGTAAGATTTTTAATGGATACAAATAAAATCCTGTCAAAAGGCTTCAATTTCCTAAAGAAAAACTCCTTTATCTTTTCAGTTTTAAAGTTCTTTCAGTATAAATACTGTCCTAGAGATATCAGCAAAACTGCACAGTTGGCAATAAGTCATCATAAGTGCATAGAAAGTCAGATTTCATTAATGCATGCATACCATGGCAACATCTATGAATTTGGCCATATCGTCAGCTCGTTGCTGTGGCGTGGTGCGACTGAGGACCATACATTGGATCCACTGAGTCAGGCCATTGAACATAATGACAGATCTCTCCAGCCTTGGAGTGTCACGCAAGGAACCGCAATCTGCATATTTTTTGAGATCATGGAACTGTGAAGAAAGAAATACTATGTATTAATACCATACAGAAGAAGCTGAATATGAAATATAAATATTTTATTAATATTCCTAAATGTAAAATCCAAGCAAATATTGAAGTATGCCATCTTCTGGAATGTGATGACATGCATGTAGCCTGGCAGATGTTACAGAAGTTTCAGACTTCAATTTCAGGGCCAAAAATTACAGAAACGCAAGTAAGAAGCAAGCACTAAGTAAATTTTTACCAGACTATGGGGCATCACAACCGAAAAGATTATATCTTCATGGTCACTGCCATAAGAAAATAATATTTCACATGTATAAAACTGATCCAACACTATATTTGCTGAGATGTGGCTATTAAAACTAACTCATTCCTAAAATTTGTAATCGTTTGCATAATTTAGACATACACCATACCACAGACATTTCCTCTTTCTTCCAATGAAATAATTACTAAACACTTCATCTTACATAAATTTCAATTTCTTTTATTCCTACAAAAAAGACAAAAAGTTTATATTTCTTTCTGTGCATCCTTATAATTTATACCTATAAAGAGTCTTTGTCCTAAAACCAAAGAAAACGCCATAGTATGTACAGATTACAGTCCTCTGGGATGTGACAACATGCATTTTAATAAATAGGTACTAACCTTCCAGAGGAACCTACAGTCTCCACTTCACTACTCCTATCCTGAAGACGGAAGCATCAGGTTCCACTGAAAGCTGACATGTATCTCCTAAATTACACAGAATTACATCCCGAAAACCATAACCTTAATACCTACCACTATGAGAACTTCAAAACCCACTCAGCTGTATAACAGACCATGTGTTGGAACAAAGATAATGCAATGTATAGGCCCATATGGGGGACAGGGGGTCAGCAGAGCTATTTGGCCTAGGGCCCTAGTCTATGGAGGAACCAAATATATTCACTTTAATTGAATTGTTCGCTTATTATTCTTGGACTATCATCAACATTCATTTGCATTATTTACACAATAGAAAATGTGAGCTTTAAGGTACTTGTTAACTTGTGTATTCATATATTTATATGGCTTTCAGAGTGGAATGGGAGCCCTACATTTGTGACTGACCTGGGCTTCACATCACCTTTCTCGGGGCCGGCACAAATACCTATGCAATTAAATAAAAATATACAAAATATTCTCCAGAAAACTCACAGTTATCCTTCTAATGACTTTGTGTTCCAAATATGTGATGTGCTTGGCTAACAGCATCGGCTCCAGATGGTTGAACACAAGGGGGACTTTACAAGAATGTTGTTTGTTTAGTAACGCTTGCTGCTCCAAGAGGCTGCTGTTGCGGAATGACACATGTCGCATCCAGTCATAAGACGGCACCTGGGATAAGTCCACGAGCTCAGCTGATGTAGGAGTTAGGGCAGACTGGAACTCTCGAAGTGTCCCTGCCAGACCATTCTCCATGTCAAAGTGCATTGGAAATTGATGAATCCAATACCTAGAACGTTAAACAATTATCAAATATTAAGATCTGCAGATGATGTCTTGAATTTTGGAAATGATGGAAAATAAACTGAGGTGAAAATAAAATCAATGGGATATTATTACATAGGAATATGAACTGAAAATGAATGTCCAAAAATTCAAAGAACATAACTGGAAAATATGTGTAATGGGGTATCAGTATACTCGTTTTTCTGTTGTTTATATGCAACATGAAGCAGGCAGCTACTAGAGTCTATGCTTGCTGCCTAGTTCATACTGGTTTCTTGTTTGGCTAACTCTTCAACCCTGAAGATGAAGGCAATATGTGCTTCCAAAGAGCCAGTTGATATTCAAGAGACAATAAGCAGTACATCCCAGAACAGAGACATCTTCAAATAGTAAGAAGATTGATGAATAATATATTGGAAAGAGTTTGGAAGGAATTGCTTGTGGCCTAATGAAGATATTACCTCGGTATTTGCCCGAAGAAACTGAGAAAATCCATGTGAACATTCCGAACAGGCCCGATTTTCATACCTGTGATATAGTCGCTTTGTAATTTTCAACATTTTTTTTTTAATATAAGTATAAATTTGTGTTGAGGATACATGTGGCAGTAAATTACCTGATGGCATGGCAGATTCTGGTCTGGTACTGAAGAAGTGGGCAAACTTCAGGTGAGGTGGTGGAATGACTGTGTGTACATCCTTCGATTGTACAGGGTGAAATTTCACCCGCTTTTTTGTGTAAGGCCATCAAGTGTTCCACCAGCGTTGCTGAGGTAGTAAACCATAGATGCATCCGGAAAACCACCTTAGGCATGACAGCAACTGATGGTGATAAGTCCCCATGACAGTCTGGAAATTAACACTCTTGTCAGCCCATCACATGACTGATTGAAATATTATTCTGCCAGTTACAGATATGAAAGCATTCAACAAAAGACAGCTCTTTTCTAATGCCCTGCTTCTATATTTTTTTAATGAAATAAATTTTCAAAGTAATGTGAAGATGCTTACCTTAATATATTTTATGGCTGGGATTAAATCACGTCATGATAACATGATTTAATAGTAAATAAGTTATGGCAAGAAAAAATCGCCTAGTTTTCTTTCACTACATATTGAGTATCTGATACAACAAGGACAGCATAGGAAACACGGCTTCCAAAAATTATTCTACTGTTGTGTGTGTATTCATTGCTGCAGGAATGTCTTTACTGAGCCGTTGCCTAGCAACGGCCGTCTATTATGGCTTCACTATTCGGCTTTCAGGAGTTAGGTTGGATGCACAGGCACACAGATAGCAAGGTGATCCAATAAGACTCCTTTTATTTTTCAAAATAAAGTAGTCTAAAAAATTTCTTTCATAGTGATCATTCATTAGAATTGATGGCTGTGATAATTCATAAGGGAACTCTAGAACCCTCTTCACATATCAAATTACCTCATACATAAGTGCTATGTATACACACACACACACACACACCAGTTCTATTTACATATTTTCTATTTAAATTATTCTATTTACATATACATCTGTTTCAGGAGATATTATTACAGACAGAAACATGACAATTTATATCAAACTTCTTGAAAAGAGGAATAGTTTGTTAAATTTAGTCACAGTAACCACATATGGCCCACATGAAGGCATACTGGTACATGTACATGATGTCTTGCATATCGTGCCAAAACCTGTTTGTCAAACGATAGATGCCACTGAAATAATAATTTAAATTTATCATACACAATGTACAAAGTGTCCAAAATGTGCCTGTCTAATTTATTAAAACTTCTATGGTTTATTTTGTGATGCTGTCATTATATAGACTATACACTACTGAAATGATGGGATGAAAATATTTTGAAAGAAACAATCATAGCCTAATCGAGTTATTACACCTGCATTTTCTCCAAAACCCTGAGAAAAATCATGACCATCTCAGTCCATGATAGCTGGTATCCTGGCCAGGACTCAAAACGAGCACCTTCAGAATATAAGTATGGAGTGTCACTGCCACACCAAGCTGTTCACTTTTAATTTACTGAAAAAGTGGTGATTTGTATTTATTTATTTTTATTTTGCAATACAAAATTGAGGGGGTGCACGGTAGTGTATTTGGTTGAGGCACTATGCCACAAGCCGGAAGGTTGCGGGTTCAAGTCCCGATGAGGTCATTGGATTTTTTTCAATTGACCTAATCCTTCCAGCTGCACTATGGCCCTGAGGTCGACTCAGCCTCTAAGAGAAATGAGTACCAGGAATATTCTTGGAATATTCCTGGGGGTAAAGGGCGGCCGGCGCGTAGGGCTGACAACCTTGCCGCCATCTATGAGCCGATTGTCTAGAAAATGTGGGAACCTCAACATCTCATAACCCTATTGACCTCCATGGCCTGTTTCACGGATACCTTTACTTACTTACTTACTTTAATACAAAATTGATGATAACTGTAAAAGGGCATGTGACATTATTTGGTATCTCAATTGCTACGCTCAGAGCAAAAAGAAAAAATTACAACTTTGTATATAAAAGGTTATTCGAAAATATTATGGCTCAGTGCGCTACCTCAGGCTTTGACTAAGAGGCCTTATGGAAGAAGAGTCTCGTATTTTCAATCAGATGTCCAGCATAGCAATTCTTGTTCCCATCTAATGTCTAAAATAAAATCTAGTAAATTTCTCATTTCACTAACTCATAATAACGCACTCTCAAAAATGTCTCAGACACAGTATATGTAATGTAACATGATAAGTACTTGCCGAAGACATTCACGACTAAACGAGTGAGAGCGGATAGAGTGGCTGCCCTGATGGGAAGTCCGGGCAATACTGGCTTATCATCTTCCAATAACACATCACTGCCAGCATACAGTGGTGTTGGCCGCATCGCTGCAACAACGAATCATGTTGAGATTAGCACGAAAGCTGACAGAAAACAGAATCCTTACTGTATTTAATATACAGTACTCTCGGCATGACTGAACTACCAGTTACATTTACACGCATGCGCAAGCACACAAACACATTTGGAAGATATTCGTGTTGCGTATAAGATATGTGGTCAACGAAACAGCTTTAGGTGTGCTTCTTAGGCATTATTTCCCTAACCTCATTAATTTTACATTTATCTCCACAATCACTCCTTATCAGCAACATTATTATTATTTCATAAGAGTGTGTGGCTCAGAGATTACTGGTCGGCTTCACACCACAGCGGCCCAAACTCTATGTAGTCAATGTGGGATCCGTGGTGAACACAGTGGAATTAGAGCAGATTTTTCTCTGGACATTCGAGTTTACCCATGCCAGTTTTCATTCCACCGATGTCCCATACTCATTACTCAACAAGAGCAATGCAATAGGACCTATTTGACGCAGCAGGATCAAACGACTCATTATCACCTCACTCCTAAAACTATAAACAAGTTAGTAAATGTATGAATAGAATACAAATTCTGGCGCATAGCCTTTTTATATGTAATGGTCATACAATATGTTTTATTTTTTTCTGTATTTGTTTCAAACATTTGTCGCACTGTTAAATAATTAGCAAGTTACACTCTAGTTGTGCGCTAAACACACGTAGGTGTTCGTCAAAATCGAAATTCGGTTGTATCATTTCAATTGCCATTTTATAACCGTCAAATACATAACAGAGCCGGAGTAGCGTATTCGGTATAGAGACTGGCTACGGGCTGGACGACTGAGGGGCCGGAGTTCCAGTCCCGGTAGGGACATCCCCGCTTGTGGCATAGTGCCTCAATCAACTACGTTACCCCGTGCCCCCTCTGATAATGGCACTAACAGAAGACTAGAACAAAATTATGAATATTCGATTTCATGATTATTACTGTATTCTCTGATGGGACGCCATGGACTAATGTAAACCGTTATCAACATTTCAACCATATTCATGGCAACTCTTCTACTCTGAAGATGGGGGCAGTAGGTTTCTCCGAAACGTTAGTAACGATCTACCAGACTACATGGCTTCACAACCAAGAAGAAAACTGCTATTTTCATAAACACTGTCTTCAGAACTTCGAATGTTGCACTAGAATTAATATTCTCATGAAGCTAAGCAAGGGTAAATATCATTCAAGAGGGCAAAGCTCTGTTTCAAGGACGCCATGGCACCGAAAGAACGGATATGCTGCAGTACTTACCCCATGTTGCACCAACCGTCGATGAGCTTAAGAATTTTTACAAAAACAAAAGTATTCGAACTGCATACTTCCCGATTCAATCGAGATTAATTTCAGTTACAACTAATGAGGGCCACGCGGTAGCGTAGTTGGTTGAGGCACTATGCTACAAGCCGGAAGGTTGCGGGTTCGAGTCCCGATGAGGTGGATTCTTTTTCAATTGATTTAATCCTTCCAGCTACATTATAGCCCTTGAGTAGACTCGGCCTCTGTAAGAAATGAGTACCAGGAAACTTCCTGGGGGTAAAGGGCGGTCGGCGTGTAAGCCTGACAACTTCACCGCCATCTGTGAGCCGATTGTCTAGAAAATTTGTGGGAGCCTCGACGTCTCACAACCCTGTGGGTCTTCACGGCCTGTTACAGGGATAGTTTTATCTTTTTACAGCTAACGCAGCTGAAATCTGAGGTCCGAGTCGCGATGACTATGAACGCTACTGCCTTCTGAGATGTGTCACAGCATGTTTTTAGCTTATGAGATCACCATGCTGTCTGTGTGTCTGTGAATCCTCCTCTCCAGTTCACTTTTAAATACCGGAACCAATCTTTATGAAACTTGGTATGTATATCATGGCACCTGAGCCCATCTCAATGGCGCACTTCATGAATCCCTCCCATCAGTGTCTCTGTGTGCATGATGTTAGGCTAAGACTCGGCAGAAACGTTACCGCGGTAACGAATACACATGCAATAATAGAAGAATGGTTGGACTCGTCGATTTATATGCGGTCCGAGTCGCTTCAAAGGAAATATATGGGCATGTTTGTACGTCCCCCTATCGTTGCTAAGAAACGACTCGGTAACAAATTTCCCGCGGCAACGAGTAATTGTTAGGGGCGTCATTTTCTATGAGATCAGTATCGTATCAAAGGGAAGTAGGCGATTAGTTCTTCTTAGAGCTTCTTCTTTTAAGTTTGTTATTTATCGACCCTGTCAGTATCAAGACTAGCGCCGACGGTTCGATTATTAATGAATGCGGAGCAATTGAAGAAATGACCACTAGGAGAGGAAAGATGAGTATTCGGAGCAAACTTGTGCCAGTGTAATTTTGTTGACCACAAATCCCATATGACCTGTGTCATCGTATAATCTGGTATATTGTTATCAGGGTCTCGGAAAAACATAAATATTCAGGGTATAAGACAGAAACACCACGTTTCACCGAAACGTTAGTATTCTTCTTTTCTATTTCACAAAGTTGCTAGTATCTGGACTACACAGCACTGACTACACTGACAGATGAATGATGAATTATAAAGGATTCAGAAGGAAATGTCAGTAACTTAAATGAAGAATTATACTGGCATTTGTCTAAACGTACTGATATCTAATTTCATAGCGTTCTCCTGCAGTTGGATGCGGTTGAAATGAAGAACAGTAAACCCTCGCTAATCCAGTTACAGTTAATCCGGATCGAAATATGAAAAATTAAAAACTCTGTTCACAGTCGAACACATACTTTAAAGCAAACATGAAATTTAGGAGCAAAGGGAATTAGAGCAAGATGATTTTCAGGCCGTGTTGAAGGCAGCTGGAGAGACTGAAACCACGCAAGAAATTATCCAAAATTAGCTTGAGATGTATAAAGGAGACTCCTTGATTCAGTTTCTCGTCTGTTTTTCTTTTCAATAAAGTTACTACAGTGATATTTTCTATTTATTTTCATTAGCACTACCTATTTTATTAAAATTCTGCATTTATTTGTTTTCTATGTTTTTTTACGGTTATGTTTTGCTTCATTAATCCGGATTGTCGCTTAATCTGGATGATCTCCTCCAAATTAATTCGAATTAGCGAGGGTTTACTGTATGAATGTCTTTCGGTGATCCGCTGCAATCCTTCGCCCTCCTTACGGCAATGTAGTACATAATACAGGACACTTCTTAAGTGTGCAAGATGAAGGGAGCTCTTCCAGTATTGATTTTCTATACACGTTGACGCGCCACTGACTTTGTATGGAATGTCATTTCCTTTAACGTTCCAGTGTAATTGAAGGAACATATTTCAAAGACTGGAGGAAATATTTCGTACCTGATAAGCAGCGAATAAATTTCTTTTAACATGATAAGTTCCAGAATACTAGCTTCTAGGATATGTCAACTTATACGCCGATAGAAGCTTACTGACATTTTCAGGATGAATGTTCCTCCAAAATGTCAGTAAAATTCTACCAGACTAAACAGCATCACACAACAGAACACCATACTCTTCATAAAAATTAATTACAGATTATTTAAGTAATAAATAAATAAACAGTAAATAAATAAAAACCTTCTAAGTAACTCCGTAGAGCCGAGCCCTTATTTGGAAGCCTCAAATAGCTCAGCTGCTCAAGAATTTCCCAAAATTTTATGGAAACCGAAAGTTCACTGCAGTGTTCAAAGATCTCTCGACTAGTCCTTATCCTGAGCCAGATCAATCCAGATTTTACCATCCCACCTTATCTCTCTAAGATCAATTTTAATATTGAAGAAAGCAGTCTTCTGGGATGTGGTTCCTTGTAGATCTTGTGTGAACCGACTTTTCGGAGGATGGAGGCGACATTTTCATTTGAAAGTCGGTTAACACAAGATCTACACAGCACCACATCCCAGAAGACGGCATTCTTCATATTCACGCCTGTGAAAACCTCGAATCCTACAATTTTAATATTATCCTCCAACCGGCGTTTAGGTCTCCCTAATAGTCTCTTTCCTGCTGGCTTTCCCACTAAAATCCTATGTGCATTCATCTTCTCCCCCATGCTCAAATAAACCCCCTCATAACATAAATGTATTCGTACTGATTCAAAGAATATAGGGAATTAAAAGATCAGAAGGTGAGCTTTAGAGGAAGCAATAGCGCGCAGGAAAAGGGACAGCATATAGGACGCCTGGAACTACTACTAAGCTGCTATACAGATATGTCCGAGAAGTTGCCGCAAGGGCACGGCGTTGATTCTTCTACAACTAGAGGTTCTGAGGGCGTAAAGTACGAAGAATAAGGTCTCTGGCTTGTAACACCTTATAGTTCGGAAAGAGGCATACGTTTGGAAGGAACATATTGCCTCCATCTTCAGGGTAAAAATGGAGATTCCACTCATGAAAAGTAAGTCGATTATGTCGACCTAATTGTTGGCTTAGGACAGGGGCTAGTGATGGGCTATTGTTTGTTCCAAACAAGGAAAGTAGCCCAACAAAAAGAAAGCAGACTTATGAGATCGCCACGCTGTCTATATGTGTGTGAATACCCCCCCTCCCCCATCAACGTTTGAAACTCGGTATGTATATCATGGTACCTGAGCCCATCTCTTCCTAAACCCCTTCCATCAGTCTGTGTGTCTGTATGCCTTATCGTTCCTATCGTTGCTAGTGGACAGCTCAGTAAAAACGTAACCGTGGAAACGATTAACGAGCAGCATTGGAAAAATTGTCCAACGCGTTTTCTATGTGGTCCGTATCGTTTCGAAAGAGAATCTGTGGGCCTGTCGGTATATCAAACTATCGATGCTAGGTAACGGCAAGAAGCACAATAGACCACTGTAGGTCGCGGAGTAAGGGCCAAGAAGGCCTACCCCTCATACATGCATATATAGGTAACGGCAATGAAGAATTGTTGGAGGCGTCATTTTCTGTGCGATCCGTGTCTTATCGAAGACAAGTATGAGATCAGTTCTCCCCAGAGCTTCTTGTCTATGTTAAATATTGA